GGGATAGTGGACAGCCTTATCTGGTTCCTAATTTCAATGTCCTGGAGGCCCCACCAGATGAACTTGAACCAATGTGCAAAAAGGAGGGTCAACACAGGAAACATTTCTTCCATTCTTCTAAGTGAAGCCAGCCACAGTGGAGCAGGACCTTTGACTTATCTTCACATAGATGGAACTTGTTCAAGAAAGGAGCCAGGGGCTCCTCCCAAGCCCGTGTTACCCCTGAGGAACAGATCCTCAAACAACCTTAAGAGGCTGTTCTTGCAGAACACCCTGGTTCGAATCCTAGCACCCACATGACAGCTAACAACCGTCCATAACTCCAGTTCCAGGGGATCTGACAGCCTCTTCTGTCCTCCGTGGGCATTGCACGAAACGGGTGCACTTAACTTACATGCAGGCAATATACGCATACACATAAAATCAAAATAACAAGTAAAACATTTTTTTAAAAAAGCATAGCCAGGCGTGGTGGCACACACCTGTAGTCCCAGCACTTGGGAGGCAGAGGCAGGTGGATCTCTGTGAATTCAAGGCCAGCCTGGTCTACATAGTGAGTTCCAGGACAGCTGGGGCTACAGGGAGACCCTGCTTCAAAAAGACAAAAAAGGGTATAAATAAATTGGTTTATCTGAGCCAATTATAGGTCTTAAACACCCAAAAGGAAAGTATAATCAAAGATTAATGGGGTAAATATAATTTTTTTAAGAGTCCATATGTATAGCTAAAGGCTACATAACAAGAAACAGTGCCAGACAGGAGATACCTTCCTTTGAGTTATTGGCCAGGGTGGTCCAAAAGACTCCCTGTCAGTAACCCAGCATAGAACTGGGAAAATGAACTGTAGACCCCAATCTTATCTAAAGAAATACTGACAACTAACTGCTGTTAGATGAGGAACTGCCGATCTTCCTAAAACAAAGACCTCTAGATAGGCTGACTGGATTCAGCAGACAGAGAAGCACTGGGGAATGGCTGGGGGTGCCGACAACACAGTGAACTGTAACAGGGCTGACAGAGTATGTGGGCTCCAGTGTGTGGGAGGGGGGAGGCTATGGGAGGGTGCCATTTGTGGGTATATAGATAAATAAGATTGTGTGGGATGTTCTATATGATATACACACAAAAAACCCCACAGATTTTTTAAAAAGACATTTGAGGAGGAAGCATAAAAATTTACTTCATGTTAATTAGTAGCGGTGATAAACATTACCAGTGAAATCTACCTGAAGACTATATCCATACTCAGGTACTAAGGATCTGAGTGTCATCGACTGTGACTAGTAATATCAGATTAAAGACACATGTGCAAACTTCTAAGAGTTAGTAGCATTAAAAACGTAGGAAACAGTATATTTTAAAATGAAATGGAGATCTTCATTAAAGGGTAAAAACTCATTCAATTTTGTGTCTTACAGGGTTCATACTATGTTCAATATTGTATAACCATATTAACTCAACTGTGAACCTAAAAATTTACAGCCACTTTTTAAAGAGATGTATTCTTGATCTGGAAATTATTACTGAATATGTTAAAGCTGTAATGAAAAATGTATAAGTTTTCGCATGTAGTGGGTACACAGTAAGAGATAGCTAATGCTATTGCTGTGGGTTGAGTATCCCTTATCTGAAGAGCATGGACCACAGCGTATCAAAGTTTTGAGCATTTTGGATTTCAGACTTTTGATTAAGGGTGCGCAGCCTGTGCTAGTGCAACAGCCTGTTATTTGTTGAAGTATCTATAGTGTACTTCTTGATTATTATAGCTGAGCACACTGCTAGAGGGCCAGACACAAAGCCCACTTGTCACATTTTGTGAGCCAGTGGATCACTAAGGACCAGGTGAAAATGAAGCTCTGAGTCAATAGGATTCAGGGTGGGACCCAGGATTTTCATCATATCCAGCATCACAGTGATGGCAAGCAAGGTTTCAGGGGGTGAAGCATGTAAGACATGTAAAATTCGAGGTTGAGCTGGGCGTGGTAGCCCACACCTTTAATCCCAGCACTCAAGAGGTAGAGGCAGGCATATCTCTATTAGTTCAAGGCCAGCCTGGCCTACATAGTGAGCTCCAGGCCAGCTGGGGCTACGGGGAGACCCTGTTTCAAAAAGAAAAAAAAAAAAAAAAGATTTGTAGTTGAGTGTAAAGGCTGGAACCCCAAGGAGACTGTGGAAACTCCAAGTCAAGAATAGTTGTTTTAGGTAACATTTAATAGAATTTCTTTCTCCTTCTTTTTTTTTTTTTTGTGTGTGTGTGTTTTTTGAGACAGGGTCTCTCTATGGCCCCAGCTGTCCTGGAACTCCCTATGTAGACCAGGCTGGCCTTGAACTCATGGAGATCCTCCTGCCTCTGCCTCCTGAGTGCTGGGATTACAGGTATGCACCACCATGCCCAGCTTAATTTCTTTCCTTTTTTTAAAAAAAAAAATTTATTGAATTTTCGTATATTTCATACAGAGAATCATCTTTATAACCCCGTCTCCTTTGCCTCCCCCCCGCCGCTGGAGTTCATACATTCTGTCATTTTTGTTAAGGCCTATCATGTAAAGTTAGTGTCCCCAGATGTCCCTCAGTGCAAGTTCATCTACTGGGATCTAGTCCCCTCCCTTTAAGATCAGCTCTAGCCAGGTGTAGTAGCATGCACCTTTAATCCTAGCACTGGAGACTGGCAGATCTCTGTGAGTTCAAGGCCAGCCTGGTCTCATCCAGCAATAATTAGCTGCAAATAATTTGACTAAGATTGGGGCCTGCTGCTCATTCCCATAGTTCTGTGCTGGGTTTTTGTCTGTGAGTTTGCGTGGGTCCTGTGCGTGCTGACACCATTGCTGTAGGTTCATATGAGCAGGGTCCCAGAAGCCTGTAGGACTTTCTTTCCATAAGGTCATGCACCTCCTCCCTGGCTCTTAGTCTTTCTGCCCCCTCTTCCTCAATGGTCTCTGAGCTCTGGATGGCTGGATTTTAATATAGGAGTCCTGTCCAAGGACCCACACCCTGCAGACTCTTATTCTCTGCATTTTGGCTATTTGTGACCTTTTGTGTTCCTGGTTCTCTGTTAAATGAGGGAGCTTCATTGATGAGGGTTAAAGATACATTAGTGTTCTCTTCATCCCTTGTTCTGTTTGTGAGCCTTAGGTGTAGAGATTGCATCCTGGATGTGCCACTTAGGCTTGGGCAGTTTACAATCTCTGTGTGTGACCAGTTGTAGAACTCTCATTATCTCTGTCTCTTGAAAAAGAAGCTTCTTTGATGGGTTGTGAAGAATATCTTTCTTTTTTTTATTTTTATTTTGTTATGTGTATGAATGTATTGCCTGCATGTATGTATGTGCACCCATATCATGCAATGCCTGCAAAGGTCAGAAGAGGGCATTGGGTTCCCCTGGAACTAGAGTTACAGATGGCTGTTAACTTCCAATGGGTGAAGGGAATCAAACCCAGGTCTTCTACAAGAGCAGCTAATGCTCTTAACCACTGAGCCATCTCTCCAGCCCTTTAATAGGATTTCTTTTTCTATTTTTATTATTTTTATGTGTACGAGTATATTGCCTGTCCGTATGTAAGTGCACCTGTGTTGTGCAATGCATGTGGAACTCAGAAGAAGGCTTCCGACCCCCTGGAACTGGAGTTTCGGTCAGTTGTTACCCGCCTTGTGGGTGTGGGAACTTGAACCTGGGTCCTCTGCAAGATCAGCCAGTGCTCTTAACTGCTGAGCCATCTCTCCAGCCCCAGGATTTCTTAATACTTAAAAGGCTAGAGGGGGCTGGAGAGATGGCTTAGTGGCTAAGACCCCTGACTGCCCTTGCAGAGGACCTGGGTTTGATTCCCAGCACCCCACATGGTGGCTATGAACTGTCCTTAACTCCAGTTCCAGAGGAATCTGACTCCCTCTTCTGACCTCTGCAGCATTGCACAGCACGGGTGCACTCACGTGCATGCAGGCAATACACTCATACACATAAAATAAAAATAATAAATAAAAATATCTATTTAAAAAGCTAGAGGAAGAAAAGCAAAGCTGCTCACTGTTCCTTTACCAGAGAACACATGTATACTGGTGGGAAAACAGCCTCCAGTTTGCCCAGGAGTATCTGCCAGGCTGTCCAGCTTCCCTTCTGTGCTGACAGGGTGACATCTACCACGTGCTCATGAGCAGATGGCATCTTGACAGAACCGCTGCTGCCTGGTGCTTACTCTGGACATGCAGGGCTTTTCTGTGTTGATCCTTTGCCTCTTCCTCTTGGTGCTGGGGCATTAGTTCTAGGGTATCATCCTCCACTGCTGGCTTCCCCTGTGCTCTAGTAACGTGTCCACAGATTGACAGAGGCACTGGGGAAGCTAGATTGTCATCAACTGTGAAGTCACAGAAATAGATCCTTTGAAAGTATTCTTTGAAAGTATTTTTTCATGTAATAAGAGAGAATAGCTAAGTTCATCAAGGACTAATTGCTTTAGTGGTCTGCACACAGAGTTCACTATATATCTTCAGATCTGTAGGAGTATGCAAAGCAATTAATTCATTTTACAGTTGTCATATGAATGTTGTTTGCTGAAATGAATTTTGTAAAGTTTTTATATATATATATATATTTATTGGTATACATTGCCTTGCCTAGCAATTTTATTTTGTTTTTATTTTGTTTTGTTTTTGAGACAGGGTCTCCCTGTAGCCCCAGCTTGCCTGGAATTTGCTACATTGATCAGGCTGGCCTTGATCACACAGAGATCAACCTGCCTCTGCCTCCCAGAGGCAGAATTAAAGATGTGTGCCACTATGCCGGGCCTTGGCCTGGCAAATTTTGTAGAATTCTTGAGCTGCCCATAGTTGTATCTGAAGCCTGTGGCAGCTGGAATCACTCCTAGAGGGTGGTTTTGCTTTCTGCCCTTTGGGAGACTGCTTATTACTACAGAGATATCTGTGACTATTTCTAGTCAGTGCTTAGAAAACACAGTGTGACTGACTTCTGAATAAGTGAGCTTTTGTTGTTTTATTTTTCCCTGTAGAGACCTGAAGCCTGAGAATATCCTCCTCGATGATCGTGGTAAGTGAGCAAGCCTTCCATGCCTAAGTGTAGACAGAAAGCTGGTAGAATTAGCCAATTATGGCAGACTGGAAACAACAGCTAAAAGAATCTGTTTGGAATGTGTTCTTTAAAGAGCATCCCACAAGGATGGCATTCCATCCTTGTTAGGTAAACACAGATGTGCCAGGTTTTCAATTACAGCTGAGGTTTGAAACGGGAAAATGAACCCAACGTATTTGCCATCCCATTTCTTACTGTCGACCCACGACTGGCTTTATTCCTCAGTTCCCCACATTTGGTATGCTGCCCTTTGTGCTGTCCTCTTGCTGTACAACACATGTCACAGAGCAGCGGTGCAGGTAACTGGATGGGGACCTCATGATGGTGGATGGGTTGGGGAATGGCACTTGCAACCAGCTCCTTGTTAGTAGCAGCACAGGTACCACTATGACCTTGCTGTCTCTGTGCAGTGGTTGTACCTAGGATACAAGGAGCCCCATTGCTAGACTGTTCATGTGAACTAGGTTGGCATTGCTGGGAAAGAGCTTCTGTCAAGTGATTCTTAGTGGCTAAGGCTCTTCCTGTCTAGTGGAGAGGATGAAACAGGGCCAGAGTGATTGCTGCAGAGGAAAAGAACAGGCCCATGCCACTGAGTCCTGGGGGCAAAGGTGAGGTTATAATGTATAGCTTTTGTTTCCAACTTCAGCCCACCGCTTTCTGCTTTTATCTCACTTATGCATCTACTCTTTGAAGAGGAAAGGTACTGGAAATTTCATTTTATGGAAGATTTGGGAAGCAACTCAGCCAGGGTTTGTGCATAGCATCTTGCTCTAAGCTTGTGGTTCATGCTGGACGTGCTGCACTGCTGTCCAGAAGAGGCAGGAGAAGCTGGGCATGGTGGAGCACACCTTTAATCCCAGCACTCGGGAGGCAGAGGCAGGCGGATCTCTGTGAGTTCAAGGACAGCTGGGGCTACAGGGAGACCCTGTCTCAAAAAGACCAAAAAAAAAAAAAAAAAAAACAAAAAAAGAAGAGAGAGGGGACCCTTTGGGTGGGCAGGGGGGCTATTTGCCAACCAGGCCAGCCTGGTCTACCCAGCAAGCTCCAGGCCAGCTGGGGTCACAGGGAGACGGAGACCCTGTCTCAAAAAGACCAAAAAAAAAAAAAAACAACCAAAAGAGGCAGAGAGAGCGGACACTGTGTGTGGGACGTGGAGTCATTTGCAAAGTATGTGAGCAGTTGAGAGAAAGGAGCAGAGCAGTGTGTAGTGTGCTGCCTTTGGTGTGAGAAAAGAGAGGAAACAGTATCCAGTGCCGTGTGTGCTATGTGTCCAGAAGCATAAAGGAAGGCCGTAAGAGTCAGTAGGATCCTGGGAGAGTGGAGTTGGTGTGGCCAGACCATGTGCCAACACTTCAAGCTTTTCATGCATTTTCAGTGATCTCTGAATAGCTCCATTGTCTCTAGAGTTTATGCTACAAACTTTAGGGGACTCATCTTTCCCAAATTCTAATCTCTGCTACCATAGGTAGCCATCAAGGGAAATCTTGGGAAGTCTAGTCTTGAGAATCAGTCCTCCCAAGACTAGAAACCACACATGACAGAAACCTCTACTCTCCCCAGCATAAGTTCAACACAGAGGCAAAGCCACTGCCATGTACAACCTGGGACCTCGTGGGAGGGGAGTTATGGGAAATGTCGCTATTCTGAGGAGGCTGAAACTGCTGCCCAACATTGGGAACTCTCTATCCTCCAATCTGGTCCACTGTCATCCCACTACTGGAGTGATGTGAAACCAGGGCTCATGGGCAGAGACCACAGCTCCAGGTTCATGACTATCACAGTTCCAGGTTCACAAGAGGGGACCACAGCTCCTATTTTATTTTTAATCATGTGTTCATGTGCGTGCGAGCATGTGTACACATGATTGTAGATGCTTATCAAGGTCAGAGGTGTCAGATCCCCTGGAACTTGAGTTACAGGAGGTTGTGAGCTGTCTGACATGAGCACTGGGAACTGAAATCAGAGCCTCTGCAAGAGCAGTATGTACTCTTAACTGCTCAGCCCTTGAGTTTTTTTGTTTTTTTTCTTTTAAATCTTCATAGGATTCTCCTTGCTTCTTTTGTCACTGTTGTTTGTGAGTCTAGGTGTATCAACTAAATCATGTACCCATAAAATTCCTAAGTGGAAGTTCGTTAGCCTAAATAAAAGGTAGCTTCCTAAAATGGTAATATTCCTTTTTGGGAATGAGCAGATTACAGTCTGCACTATACATTACCCTAGGCAAAGGGACCATACATAAGCTACTTTAAAACCAAGACAGCTTGGACCTTTCCTGAGAGTTGTGTCAGTTTATTAATGGAGACAATGATTGGACAAGTGTTCTTGTAAAGGTACTAGCTATACCAGCTACAGCTTGTAGCTGGCCTTGTGTGACTCATGTTTCAAGCTGTGTTTCACAAAAATGCCTTTTGATTGTTATTGCTATTAAGCAAGACATGAGTGAGAGCCTTCCCTTCATGGCTTTCTCACCCTGCTCCATCTTATCTGAATTTGACATAAGTGATGCCGTTTTGATTCCAACAACTTGTACTAAGTCCTAACCACCCCCTCTCAGCATCTTAGAAGGTGTCCATATTTGGAGATAAGTACTCTGATATACAGAACATTTGCACATAGTGGCATTCTCTGAGTGAAGTATCTTTTTTTAAAAAAATATTTTATTATTTTTAGGGGTTGGGGATTTAGCTCAGTGGTAAAGCACTTTGCCTAGCAAGTACAAGGCCCTGGGTTCGGTCCTCAGCTCTGAAAAAAAAAAATATTATTTTTATTTTATGTGTATGTATGTATGGACTGCATATAGGTCAGTGCACCTGTGTCATGCAATGCCTGTGGAGGACAAAAGAGGCTGTCAGATCCCCTGGAACTGGAGTTATGGATAGTTGTTAGCTGCCATGTGGGTGCTGGGATTCAAACCCAGGTCTTCTGCAAGAACAGTCAGTGTTCTTCACCGCTGAGCCATCTCTCCAGTCCCCTGAGTGAAGTATCTTAATTTTACTGTTTCCTTAACACTATCACCATTTGTTCTCCAGAAAAAATCTCCTGTTGAAAAAAATCCCCATATGTAAGCCTGCTGGTACTAGAGTAGAAAGTATTCATTTGCTATTTTTCTGCTTGATATAATGTTCATTTTATTTTTGCATATGTACCTGCTAGTTAAAGAAGTAACAAGTACAGAGGCTGGAGAGATGACTCAGCACTTGGGATGCCTTTAGATCCCAGCACTTGGGAGGCAGAGGCAGGTGAATCGCTGTGAGTTCAAGGCCAGCCTGGTTTACATAGTGAGTTCCAGACCAGCAGGGGCAACAGGGAGACCCTGTCCCAAAAAGACAAAAAAAAAAAAAAAAAAAAAAAAAAAAAAAATGGTTGATTCTGTGTTTTAGTACTTTTGTTGTCTATGATTAAAGGGGTTTTGCCAGATATAAATCTAATTTTCTACTGTTGGTGAAACTGAATATTTTATATGGAATTTTACCTAATGTGAAAAGTTAAATATAATTTTAGATCAAAATATTTCAGAGTATGAAATGCTAATTGTTTTTTTTTTTTTTTTTTTTTTTTTTTAAGCCCTCCCTGTAGCCCCAGCTGTCCTGGAACTCACTATGTAGACCAGGCTGGACTTGAACTCACAGGGATCCACCTGCCTCTGCCTCTGAAGTGCTGGGACTACAGGCGTGCGCCACCACAACCGGCTGAAATGCTAATTTCAGCAACCAGCTGATTCCAAATGGGGTTGGAATCTTGAGCCTTCTGCATGCTGGGCAAGTGTTCTGTTACTGAACTATGTTCCCAGCCCTTGTCCATGCTCTTAAGATGGCCTTTCCCCCAGTTGTAATTGCTACTAAGATGCTCTTACTTCTCCCCATCATCATATTGTCTTAACATTCACAGGACACATCCGAATTTCAGATCTTGGTCTAGCCGTGGAAATCCCAGAAGGGGAGATGATTCGAGGGAAAGTTGGGACTGTTGGCTACATGGGTAAGTGAAAGACCAGCTTGGTGGTCTTCATCCTTTCCTTCTAGGCCTCAGAGACAAGAGGGAAAGATTCCTAGTCTTTTTAAAAATATATTTTATTATTTTAAAATAATATTTTATGTATTATTTTTATTTTATGTGTATGAGTGTATTGCCTGCATCAGGCTTGGCAGCAAGCACCATGTCCACTGAGCCATGTGGGTGCTGAGATTCGAACTCAGGTCTTCTGCAAGAACAACCAGTGTTCTTAACCACTGAGCCATCTCTCCAGCCCCATGATTCCTAGTCTTTTAATTTACTTAAACAGTATAAACTTCAGCCAGATATCCTCAAACCATAACAAAAATGCCACATTGAAATAGCTTTTATTTTATTTTATGTGTGTGAGTGTTATACCTGCATGTGTGTAAGTGTACCATGTCATGCATTGCCTGCAGAGTCAGAAGGCAGTATCAGATCCCCTGGACCTGGAGTTACAGACAGTTGTTAGCTGCCATGTGGGTGCTGGGAACTGAACCCAGGTCCTCTGCAAGAGCAGCTAGTGCTCTTAACTGCTGAACCATCTCTCCAACCCTGCATTTATTTAATTAAAAAAAAAATTCTATTGTGTTGGGTGTTGTGCCACCCACCTTTAATCCAGCACTTGGGAGGTAGAGTCAAGTCTGTGAGATCAAGACCAGCCTGGTCTACATAGTTCCAGACCAGCTGGGGCAACAGGGAAGCCCTGTCTTTAAAAATAAATTTTTAGGGACTGGAGAAATGGCTTAGTGGTTAAGAACACTGACTGTTCTTGCAGAAGACCCAGGTTCGAATCCCAGCACCCACATGGCAGCTAACAACTGTCTGTAACTCCAGTTGCAGGGGATCCGACAGCCTCTTCTGTCCTCTGTGGGCATTGTACAACCCAGGTGCACTTACCTGCATGCAGACAATACACGCATACACATAAAATAAAAATAATAAATTTTTATTACATTTATCTGCTGCATATGTATGTTTATGCTTGTGTGCATGCATCTATGAGTGAGCCAGGGAAAGTGTTTGGAGGTCACAGAACAGCTCACAGGAATAAGTTCTCTCTTTCCACCACCATGTGGGATTGAGGGATCAAACTCAGGTAGTCAGACTTGGCAGCAAGTGCCTTGACCCGCTGAGCCATCTCACCAGCCCCTGAAATAGTGTTTAATAAAATGCGTAAAACTAATTATCACCACAGTACCCGACATACAAAGAGAACAACTCAGATTCTTCAAGACTGAATGCATTGGTTAGATACAAACTTCAGTTTAAAAGGAACATGCAGGGCTGGAGAGATGGCTCAGTGGTTAAGAACACTTGCTCTTCCAGAGGATCCGGGTTTGATTCCCAGCTCCCATTTTGTGGCTAACAACCATCTGTAACTCCAGTTCCGGGGGTCTGACACCCTCTTCTGGCTTCTATGGGCACTGCATACACATGGTATACCTACATACATGCAGACAAAACACTCATGCACATATAATAAAAATGAAAATTAAGGTAGGCATGGTGGCACACACCTATATTCCTAGCACTTGGGAGGCAGAGGCAAGCGGATCTTTGTGAGGCCAGCCTGGTCTACATAGTGAGTTCCAGGACAGCTGGGGCTACAGGGGGAGACCCTGTCTCAAAAAGACCAAAAAAAAAAAAAAAAAGAATTACAAATATGTAAAAAGAACATGCTAGTTTTTTAATGCCATCACATAGCAAACCTGATTCCACATGGAAAAGAAATCTTTTGTATGAAGCGCTAGCTTTCAGTAGGTTTTAAACACAGAATTAAAGGTAGTCGCCTAAATGGTATTTTCTATATTGTGAAGGGTAGAAGTTAGAGAAATGGTCCCAAGAAAGTAGCACACTGAATTTTCTTTTAATAGAAAAGGGTTCAAAGGGTAGCTACATTTTAACAGAGATCTGAGCTTCAGTAAAAACCGCAGTTGGCACTATAAAAAATGTATAACTTTTCAGTTATAAAGCTTATGAATGCTGATTTACAAAATAATTGGGAGAGACTAGAAAAATATTGGAGCACTTGAGTTGTACATGCAGCAGCTTTGGAGTTTGTGAATACACAGGCTCTTAGAATGACTGATACTTCCCTAAAAAAGTCTATTTTTAGCATAAACTATACTTTCAAATGTTATCAAAATGTTAAAATTTAACTCAGTCTAATGTTGATAAATGTTTTGAGGGCTTAGAGGGTCTGCGGAGTCCTCTAGTCTGTAGCCTTTCTGTAGATGCAGAATGGAGCTCACAGAGGGCCCTGAGTCCTGAGGTTACATGGCTGTCTGAGGGCAGAGACAGGGCAAGGCCACAGCTCTCCTCACGCTGCTATGTCTTGTGTGTGGGGCACACAGTCCCCACACAACCAACTTCTGGGAAATTTTCCTGCTCTGGTTATTTCAGAGATGTGTGGGCAGTGCCACCCACCCATGATGGCCTTTGAGGGCATGGTGGGCCTCTAATAGCCTAGCAGGAGAATCCTCTACTCACATTCCTGCCCTTGGCTGGTTCCTGAGGTTTTCACTGACTTGGGTGTACAGGAAAATCCACTTGAGGCACGTGTGGGAACACTCTTGAGACTTTGAAGGGAACACCCTTGGGAGGCAAGCTTTCTCTGTGGCACCATTTTCCTGTATTACTCACCTTGCAGCAATCAAATTCGTCCAGTATGGATACACAGACATTTAAAAATAAAAACTTCACTGAGTTATCATTCACACATCTGAAAACCCAACAATTTGAAGTGTATAATTTAGTGGCTCTTGGGATATTTACAGAGCTGTACAACCAGCATCATCATCACATCTAATTAATTTTAGAACAGTTTTCATCACCCATTAGCAATCACTCCCTAGTCCTCACCTTCTACTCCTGGGCCCTCCACCATGAATTTACGTGCAGTTCCCATTGATTTGTATATTCTGGATTTTTTTTTAACTTTTAAAAAATATTTATTTATTTATTTATTTATTTATTTATTTATTTGGTCTTTTTTTTGAGTGCCATGGCAGGCATGTGGAGGTCAGAGGACAGCTTGAATTAGTCAGTTTTTTCCTTCTACCGTGCAAATTCTGGGGATCAAACTCAGGTCATCAGACTTGGTGCCAAGCACCTTTAGTTACCTCACTGAATCCATTTGTCAGGATTGGTTTGCTTATTTCACACAGCATTTCACTCTGTAGCCCAGATTGGTCTCAAGATCCCCCTGCCTTCACCTATCAAGTGCTGGTGAATGTGTGCCATCATGCATATTAAACAAGTCCTTCAAATTGTACTGTTCTTACCTGATTCACCTACTGATGCCTATGCTTCCTTTTCAATATTCATGTAGATGACGGGGTATTCTTTCAAGATTTTAGATTTGCTTTAGTGACAGATAGAGTTTATACTGAGTTCAATATTGTATAACTGTATTAATTCAACAGTGAACATAAAAATTTTATAGT